AGGGGGGGGGGGGGGGGCAACTGGGTACTGGACATTTTAGAACTGTGCACTTTTTTTATACACCATGTACAGTATATAAATAAACACCCTGGTGTTTACTCACAAAGCTGGGTTTTACTGCAAGACAAGTCACAAGGACAGGCTAGATTATAACCTGCTAGGTATAACATACTATAAATTGTTGAAGGGAATTTTGTGGATGAATTAACGTTTGAGTGGAATATTTTATGCATTTTCCGCTCCTGTTAGGTCCAATAAATGTATAAAATATTCCAGCTAGTGCTCGAAATTTCCATCTACAAATCTGTTCCACGATTAGTTATATCAAGTGAGATGCTTAAAATACTGATAAATATATAAATCAGACTTCTCTTTCATGAAATCAGTGCTGTATGTTGAAACTTTTGCTTAACCCTTTAAATGGCAATGTGCCCAGATGCACCCTACTTTATTAATTATTTTACTCTGTCTAACGCCAGACGATTGTACTTGTCATGGGGTGAGTTTGCCATTGAGTGCCACTCAATGGGTTAATGAAGATATGGTAGCTGTTAACATGTTGGAATAAATTGTAAACAGATATTGGGAGTCAATAAGAAAATGGAATGAAGCTATTCAACTCACACCAGACGATGATGCACTTCATGAAATGAAAGCACAGGTGAATTAATTGCATTCAACTTGTCCATTTTCACATCTAAACTAAGATCAGTAAACGCTTTTTTCGACTAATATCGTAAAAACGAATTGCAACTATTGCGACTACTTTCATCCAGTCACAATACTCGACAGTTTATTTAAGTAATTAGATGCAAGAACTCTCAGCTAGCTTGCGAGAGTGGAAAAGAGACGTTGCATCTACTGCATGTACAGTATTAGTCACATGTATTAAACAATTATCTCAAAATATGTCTTTTAAAAGTTAAAACTGCATAGTTCTTCCAAAGCACTCAATGTCAAATTTGATAAAAAAATAACATATTCCTGCAATGTCAGCTTAAATGTGTAAACGATTTTCGTGTTTCTTTGTGCATTTAAACAAACAAAGAACAGTGGCGGGGTATGAGATATAATCGCCCCATAACCATTGTGATTATTTGTACCAGAATTTCACAAATAAATATATGTTAATCTTCTGGAGAGGTCTAAACTGCAGGTTACAGGCTGGTGCAGGTTGACGAGATAAGCATGTGGTCCATGTGGTCCATGTCATGTCCAACCATGAGGTCCATGTCATAGAGATTATAAATAGGCTAACACTAGAGAAAGAAAAGGAACGCAGTTATTGGGGGGCAAAAAAGTTAATATTGTTTAATTAATGGCAGTTAAGTATAGTCCCGTTTTGATTTTTACGAAGCATTTTTACCTCAATTTTGTCTATGAAACATTTTGAGAGCGCTTCAAACTAATGCTGATGTCAGCAATTTTCATCTTTTCAAGAGAGTTAATCGTTTGAATCCAAAATTTGGGGGATTTTTTGTAGTAATGACATGCAAAACATACAGTATAAAACACCCAGTTTTGTGACTGTTGTTTTAAATGTTTCTGATTTCAAGTGTAACACAGGAATTGTGTGGTGTTCATCCAGGATTCCAATCCTCCCCCCCATTACCGCGCGCTCCCAAATTTCACCCTCGATGCCTCCTCTAGTGTTATTTATAATCCCTATGGACTATATCCTAACTCAACCAACAACCTACACCAACCCGCAAATGCAACCTATTTTTACTTCATCCGCAGGTTTTACTGGAATTAGACGAAGTCTTTCCAGCAATTCAATCAGCAGAGATCGTGCACAAATCGCAATTGGTGAAATTGAAATGGTAAGTATTATCAATACCAAGTGGGAATTCTAAATTGATACTTCCAAAATAAATGTTCATTCTTTCTTTGTACATATGAAGTCAAGGATGACAAACCTTGGAAAAACTTGTCACCTAATTAAATGAATTAATTTGGACTAAATACTTCATTTATCTATTGCTGGAGGATGTGAGAAAGCCTTCCCATATTTGTCCAGTACGTCTTACTGTTTGAGAAATCTGGACTTCCCGGAGAACTAGTGCTCAAGTCAAACTGAAAACGCCTTTCTCAAATGTGACAGAGGCAAAATGTAATCAATCGCAAAGCAATCGTTAACTGAAACCATTTCACCGAGGTGATATCCTGTTTTCACTAATCACTGTAACACATCCAGCAGTGAAAGTGAAGAAATTTTGATGGAGTGGTGAGACAACGGCCACCCACCTTCGTGCAAAATGGAGGATTGGTAGGGAAAAAATATCAGGATTTTGGGCTTCAGGATTTTTTTCTTACTCGATGGAACTATAGCCAATTGTTGAAGGATTTTTTTTATGGAAATTTCAAGTGTAAATTTTATACATTTATTTAGACCTACTGTAACCAGAACCATTTATTTAGACCTACTGTAACCTCTCTGGCAGGAATTGGACCTGCGGTAGCGTTGTGTGTATATACTAAGTTGATGCCAATGTGAGGTGTATGGTTAAAGACCATGTAAAGTCCGTAATGTAAACAAACGCTTTGTTTACATTTTGAACTCAGTGCTACAGTTGTAAAATATGATTAGATATATATTATACTGAATTTTTAACACTCTTCTGGTTCCCTATGCTTGTAAATGAATACAGACTAAAGATTCAATTCAAGAAAGTTCAAAAGACACGAAATATAAATAACATTCCAACGGTCGGGTCCCGACCATTGGAATGTAAGCCTGCGCAGAACGTATGCGCAGAACGGACTTTACATGGTCTTTAAATATCAGGATTTGGGGGAACTCACTCGATAAATCTGTAGCTATTGTTGAATTTCCTGTTTAGGTCTAATAAATGTACAGTATATAACATTTACACTCGAAATTCGCATCTACAAAATCGTTCAACGATTGGTAGGGAAAGGCTATCAGCCTAATTTAAATGTGTAAATTGCAGTTTTATCTCAAATTGAGAACGTTTTATCAGAAAGCCAGTGTTTCATCCTACTGCAAACCGGCCAGTTTTTCATGGTAGTCGATGCCATACTTTAAATTGCCCAAACGTAAATAAAATAAATCAATATTAAATTTAACTTTACTTTATCAATATTCAACTTAGCTTCAACAATGCCCTGATTCACACTACAAAGTAGTATGTGCGATTGTTTATGACCAAGTTCGCCTTTGCCACCTTTGTTTTTTATTTAGGCAATAATCAGTTTCTCAAAAGCCTTGCATATTACGCCGGAGTCAGAAGAGGTATAACCTTAATTGTACTAATCTTAATTTCACAAAAACAAAGTACAGGAAACAAACTTCAAATACAACTTAATATTAAAGTAAAGCAGGAGGACACAATATTCAACAGTGATATTTCGAATTTATTTTGCAAACTCATCATCAGATTAATTTAGAAAAGCTATCCCTACATATACAAACGTGATTACGTCATAAACACGACGAAAGCGTGGGTGCGGAAGTGTTAGTGTGATGAACAGTGTTCAGTGTGATTAACAAGACGCTACAGTATATCAAGTCAAATAGTGTGAGTTATTTACTGGCTTTGAGTATGGGCGGCCGTTACCACCAAAAACACTACACGTGTGAAATGAAAGGACATAAACAGAAATCATTCCTTACAAACACGAACGACTCATCATGTTTAGAAGTGCTTGAACCTAACGTAATGATGTAACTGGACAAGATCAGAAATGATTCGTTTAAAATTGAAACGATTCACTTGATTGTGTATTATAATTAATAATTATTGCGCTGATTCGTATAGTTCAAGTGAAGTGGCTTGGCATATTTTGCAATGACGTAGCCGGTCGTATACAAATGACACGTTCGGTTGGCAAATAATATTTTTTTGCCAACCGAACTTTCCTGTGTTGGCAAATAGTTTGAATCCAGAGTTCAGTTCTGGTTTCAGGGGGGGGGGGGGGGGGTCATGAAGGCTGCTTCCATTTTTAAAAGACCGTCTTCATATAATGCTGCAATTGAGTAAAGACTTTTGTAATTATTAAATACAATGTCAGCCATATGGGGAGAAATTCAGTACTCGCCAGAAAATCGGAACTCGCCTGACATATAGCACCGTGTTACTGTTAATCCTTTAAATCACGCTAATACTTCCGCGCACTCACGCTATCTTCCTGGTTATGACCTCTTGACAAACTTATCCCACAAATATGGTGGCGCAAGGATATTCAGACACTTACGTACGTCAGGCTATACAAAGTGTTTACTACTACATATGTATTAATTTGGGACCCATCGTAAAAATCTAGAAAGGGGAAAAAATGAACATGCTGCATACACCTGACAGAAATCGTTTCAATTTGGTTTTGCCATAGTCCGACAGCTTTTCCCGACCTACCAACCTTTATTTTTTATTTTCATGTTCCATAATTAGACAAAGAAACAGATAAAAAAGTGTGGCCTCAGAAAAGTTAAGTTTTACTCCACGCAGTAACCACAGTTGTCTTCTTGTAGATTCGCAATGAGGATTTATGTTGGGCAGTACACCTCAGGAAGGAAAAAAATGAAAGACAAAAGAACCATGAAAGTGACACAAAAGAGTGAATAATTAGGAACAATTCAACTGATGCAGGCAGCCCAGGGCAGTTAATATGGTCGGATTAACCTTCTTCCGCGAAACATTGATATCTTGGCATGGTTTCCATCACATTGGTCAGCGCATGTTCGAGATTGAAAATATTTATATAAGGAAACATCAAGGCACATTCTGTAAGAAGAAGTTTTAACAATTTATAATGTTGTATATTTGTAATATTGGCGGACAGTTTAATTAAAAATTGAACTGATATATAAGCACAATACAATCTTTGTCTTTGGTTTAGTACAATATTTTGTTGTACTATGCTGCGAACAGCTCAGTAAATATACTGAGAGCTTCTTTGCAAACCGGCTTGTGAACTTTCAATATAAACCTTCGAACTTCGCAATCCCTCTCTAATAAATGCCCGCGAGTTACGATATCGCAAGATCTTAAAGTTTTTTCCAATTGAGCTACAGCTAGAGCGCAGCTATCGAACTGACAAGTTCATATATCGATTTATTAGGGACTAGGGTACTGCCATGTTGCAAGAGGTATGGGTAAATATCAAGATTTTGTTGGAATTTCACGTAGGTCTAATAGATGTATATAGAATTTCCACCCGATAATTTCCAACTACAAAACCCCCCAACTTTAAAGTACGCACGGTTTCGCACGTTCATTTCCACTTGACGCCTGGATAATCATAAAGTCCATTGACCTGCTGTATAGCTCTTTATTAGCAGAACTCTTTTTCGGGCTGCGGTTTATATTTTGCCAGACAGGCTTGGTTAACCGGGATGGTTCGTTCAATGAAGCTCTTACCACCGCTTTGATAAACATCCAAAGGTTTCTCTCGTGTGTGGATGGTCAGTTTCGTGAGGATTTGACCTCTCAAGGCCTCGAGGAACTATCTATCGTGTTTGATATTTTTCTCCTCGCGAGAAAAAAAAAATCTCAGCGTCTGTGGATGTTGCGAGCTTAGTGCTGAGCTGCTTGAATAAATTAGCCAATGAGAAACCATCATCTTCACGCGAGGCGGTTAGCTCGGCAGGCTTAACATCATTATTACAGTTTAAGTATCATTACATCAGTATTTTCGGTAGTCTCCTTCGCAGCCGCTCTTTGTGTCGCGGAGAAAGCTCGACACAAAGAGCGGCTGCGAAGGAGATTAGATTTTGGGCATCTGTACATTAAATATAACTAAGTCTAAGTTACTGAGTGAAGAGTTTTGTTGACGAAAATTTCGAGTGTGAATTTTATACATTTAGTAGACCTAACCTGGAGCAACTGCAACTATATACTGTCTGATAGAAATCAAACCAGGGCAGCCCAAGCTATTCCGGTGGCGAGCTCTAACCAACTGAGAGTTTACTGGCCAGTTGTCGAGCTCTAACCGCAAATTAATACTATATACGTTTTGGATCCCCAAATTCCGCGATTTATTCCGAAATATCGCGTTTGTAGCAAAACGCCTGTACATACGGTTGCATTATTTCTACGATTCCGGTGCAGCCCTCCTGACCAAGAGAGATCTCTAACCTGCAAACTACAGCCTCTTACGTGCAAGTACAGCCTCCAACCTGCAAGTTCATCTATATATACTAAGGTGATGCCAATGTAAGGTGTATGGGTAAATATCACGATAACTTTGAGTATCTCATAATATATGTTGAATATGTATCTCCATCTTCATGCCTGGAATTACTGGTACGTCATTATGGCCGCGTAGTCACTAAAAATGTATCTACTTTAGTAGTTACGTAATTATATCAATGTCTCATTGTCTCGTTCTTTTAAGAACTCACTGCGTAACCAGTGAAAATTATAGCTACCTTATAATTTCGCAATTATTACTGCCAACGTCTCGTTCTAATTTATCGAAATTTAAAACTCACTGCGTTGCCACGCAGCCACCAATATTTCTAGAGGGTCTTCAAAAGTGGACGGGTATTCTGCAATCGCTCCCTGCCAACTAAAGAAGTGATACGAGGTAATTAATTAAAGGAAACGTCACCTTCGCCATGGTTTAGGGTTACAGTCGTAAATATTTCCGGGCATATTCAGGCCCATACGTTTGACGTCGTTTACTGTAAATTTATGCACAGTAATAACATACTATGAACGCAATATATATATTTTTTGTTGTCAGTATCGTGGCAAACCTTGGTGATATTTATGAATTGATAGTCCTCAAAATAGAACATTGGTCATTCAAAGTCCACGCGGTCAACTCAAAACACTTAGTGAAATATGCATCATAAACAAACATGTTTCGCTGTGTCTATAATATTAGTATTATTATCATTTCTTCTGATATCGTTGGTAAATAAAGAAATGTTCTATACATCAATTGATCTATATGGTAAGTGTATTATTTATTGGCTGATGTTTACACTAGACGTGAATAAAAGTGTCAGTTCTATTTGTCCGCGTATGTTGCCGTATAAATGCGGCGATCAGTCAGAGTCTTATATTTCATACGTCAACTAAAACCTTTTACTTTATACCATGCAGGTCAAACATGTGGGGAACCGAATACATTTTGATACGATTACGTTAACATTTCTATAACGCAAACAGTAGGGTCACTCGGCGTCAGAAAGTGTCCGCATTGTTTACCTGATGAACATATTGGCAGCCTGTAGACGGCAGCAGTTCACTATAAAATTGTATAGACCCTTTTCATAAATGGCTACCGATTAAAAATTCTTTTATGTGCATATAATTGGCCCAACTATCCTCGTACTCATGCTAAGATTTCAAAGGAATTTCTACCCAGAAACGAGGCTAGTTGGGCCAACTTATATGCACATAAAAGAATTTTTAATCGGCAGCCATTTATGAAAAGGGTCTATAGAGAGTTCATGCTTTCGGCGCGCAAGACACCTGGGACCTAGCTAAAAAAGTTCCCACATTTGTCTCCCCTGAGTAGCCTACGGTGTAGACCCCAGCAGAAACACGTTTCGTGAGGGGTCTACGAATAAACGAAGAAAAGCTTGCCCGGCTACGTCATATCCGTTTTACGTTTTGGGTAAATTAACTTCAATTTATTCAAATTTCTGAAGCGTGCGTAAATGTAATTTTCATTTGACGCTTATTAAAATGTTCCATGGCTAGGCCTGACTTTGTGCAATAAAATATACCCGACTATATATATACCCAACCATTAAACACATGTCCAAACAGACTAAAAAGTACAAACTGTTATGCTGTTGAAGTCTTGAAGCTTGTCAAGACATCCAATTTCTGAAGTCGAAGGCAAAGTTGAATTCACACTAAATGTAGCCGGCATAAACGTTTTATCGCAAATCGGCTTGAATCCCAGTTTCCGCACATTTCGATTACTTTAAGCGGTATACCAATAGCGTTTAATGCTGTTTCCTGCACGTTCGTTATCGTGTTGTCTAGCTCACATATTAAACCGTTCTTTGAAGCTTCTCCGTTTCACCGTTCGTTTACCAACGCCAGGAATGCTTTACAAATGCTATTTGTAGGTGAAATGGAGAAGGAAAGGTCATCTAACTCCTTACGTATGTTCTCCTTGCTGTCCAAGAAATTAATATCGCTTTTATTCGACGGGACTTTGAAGCAAATAACCGCCATGGAACATTTTAATTATAAGCGTCAAATGAAAATTTGCGCACGCTTCAGAAATTTGAATAAATTGAAGTTAATTTACCCAAAACGTAAAACGGATATGACGTGGCTGGGCAAGCTTTTCTTCGTTTATTCGTAGACCCCTCACGAAACGTGTTTCTGATGGGGTCTACACCGTAGGCTACCCCTGAGTGGCCCTGCTGGTTGTCTGAAATTTACATGTAGATATGATCAAATGCGCTTTACATCAAGTATTACGCTTACCTATGTATAGGTTATTTTGAGGCAACGAGGGGATAACCAGTGTTGTAACGAGTCGAGTCATTGACTCTGACTCGAGTCAACTCGAGTCGCTATTTTCAGCGACTCGACACGAGTCCAATACGAAAAATTGACTCGACTCGACTCGAGTCAACAGCCCCAAATGACTCGACTCGGACTCGACTTGCTGATTTTGCCGTAAATGACTCGAGTCAACTCATCTACAACTTGTACAGAGTAAATTCATCACAATTATTGTGATTGTATTGCTTGGGAAGAACAATGAGCCCTGTAAACAATGAGAACTTTGAAACTTTATCAGAAAATATATGGGATTTGCATAGAATATATTCCTGACGGGCATACCTATATTACATTTAAACAACGCTAGTGCCACAGTTTTTTAAAATTAAGTGTCAAAATGTTTTGTACTTATACTAATTCTGACAGGCTATTTTCATTTTTGGTATTTATGAAGGGCTATATAATTTCAAATCAACTTACAAAGCGTTGTTAATTAAAGTCTATTCTTTGTTAATTCTGACTCCAGTTGCAATTTTGCTAGTTGTATGTACGTACACTCGATCAGCAGGTATGATGAGACATCTCACGTGGTTGACTGGAACTGTGATATTGGCACAGCCTATAGCTGCCCAGATACTGTTATTAATTTAAATGACTAAAGTAATTAGTTTAAAACGCAAATTTGATTACTAATTTCCGACAGCAAGCTACAAAAGGGTAGTTCAAGTAAAGTCTAGAAATTGACTCGACTCGACTTAAATCAGTGACTCGACTTGACTCGAGTGAAGCCGCTGACTCGACTCGACTCGAGTGAAGCCACTGACTCGACTCGACTGGACTCGATCAAAAACTGAAATGACTCGACTCGTGACTCGACCTTTGAGTGACTCGACTCGACTCGTGACTCGACCTGTAGGTGACTCGTTACAACACTGGAATAAACACATATGTTGTTTTTTCCTCATTTTTTGTGCTGCAAATACATTGTAGGTGAATATTAGAGTGATTATTAGAGGGGAATATTGAATATATTCCCCGACACGAACAAAGGAAACCGAACAGGGTGAAAAATAAAATTACTTACTCAGGACGCCTATAGACTATTTTATTTACAAGAATTGTGATATTACTTTCTTAACTG